ACCGAACGGAAGGTGGAACGAGTTCGTATCCGGCTGCCATCGCTCAACGAAAGCCGTGATCAGCGTCCAGTCAATCCTGTCGTGCATGGTGGCAGGAAGGTGACTCACTCTAGTGGCCCTCAATCGCCCGACCATCTCGCTCTCCTCCGGCCAAGCATCAGCCCAGCTACACAAAAACCTACAAGTCTTTTCCCGGGTTTGGCATTTCAAAATGCCTGTATCCAAAGCCCTCTCCTGGTCCTCCCAAATACGGGTAGCGATGTGTCCTAAAAAGCTAGGAATCACACTCCCGTCTATAGGTCCCCCGGCCACCTCACCCCTCACCATCCAAGAATCATTAACGGCCCTCGACCGTTTTCTGCTACCCGCAGACACAGTGGACGCAGATGATATGCCAGATCTACTAACAAACCTACCATCTCGACCCTTACGCACATCTACCCTATGCGTCTCATACGTATCATCAAGCCTCTGACTGAATGGACCGTAATCATCATATGGTCCACTCTGATCGTCGACATCCTCATCTGCATCATCCTCGTCCTCGACCTCCTCCTCCTCGACCTCCTCCTCCTCCTCCTCATCATCATCATCATCATCTTGATCGTCCGCAGAACAGTGCACCCGTTCTCTGCGGGCCGAGGCCGAAATACCACGGGATCTAACGTGTCTGGGCCCCGAGCTCTCCATTGAGTAGATCGTACTCCTCACGACGTCAATACTCTTCCCCGCACCAGGTCTAAATTGCGATGCCTAACTCCAAGTAAATAACGAAACATAATAACGAAAACAAATTAAAAAAAGTCGAAAATAAACACAAAAGCAAATAAACAAGTCACGGAAATAAAATTATAAACATAAAAAATATAAAATTAAAACAAATAAAAAAACAAAATTTAAAAAAAAAAAGATAAAAAAAAAAGGGAACATACAATTTAAAAAAAAGAAAAACAAATTTTTTTAAAAAAAAAAAAAAAAAAAATCGAAAATAAAATTTAAAATTAAAAAAAACAAAAAAAAAAATTTAAAAAAAAAAAAAAGAACGAGGCGCCTAGGCAAGACGCCCGTACGGTGGTGGCGGCGCCTAGCCCAGACGCCACTACCACGGCCGTGGCGCCTAGCCTCTGCGCCGCCGCCGTGGTAGTGGCGTCTGGGCTAGGCGCCGCCACCACCGTACGGGCGTCTTGCCTAGGCGCTTCCTCCGTGGTGGTGGCGTCTCGCCTTGGCGCCCCACCGTCGCCGGAGGTTTTTTTTTTTAAAAAAAAATTACAAAAATTAAAAAAATTACCTTCTGGCCGGCAAACCGCCTTCCGCCCACCGCCGGTGCCGCCACTTCCTTGCCGGGCCGCCTCGACATAGCTCTGGAAATAATTTAGAGAGAGAAAGTGGAAGTAGAGAGTAGAGAGAGAAATTGTGTGTTTTTTAGTATGAGGGCAAAAGTGTCATTTCACTCTTATTTTGTGGGCTTTATGTAGGAATTTGCGGGCGATGTTTAACAGTTCACTTATATATTTATACAATGAACTCTTGACGACTTAGCATTTATATTTCTCAAAAGTGAAATGTCAAGTTGAATTTGTTATTTTTCATAGTGCTTGACTTCTTGAATTATTTACCTATCAAGGATTAACATTGGCATTTTTTTTTATTTTTTTTATTATTTTTTTTAATAATCCTCCTATAATGTGGGGTGAGTGATTAGTTCAGTTGCTGCCAGTGTCTTAATATACTATCGACCCCTTAGAATGTAACCAAGAGTTTTACTGGTGAGTTTGCGCTTATTTGTGCTACACTTTTAGCTAGAATCTTTTGTTGTTGGGTTAGTTGTTCCTAATGTTGCTTTGTTGGGCAACCTTTGGATCTTTAACTGTATGTATATATTATACTAGTAGATATTCCAATCAACTAATCGTTCATTAAGTAAATGGATAATTATGCCACTAAAATTTATCTTTTTCATGTTTCGCCTTCGGAATTTAGGGCTATCATTAATTAGCCTTATCGTATGATTTTTTTTTTTGTTATGTGTATGTCATGTGTTCACTATAATAATCTAAGAAGATTTCAATTACTCATGATATGATTTATTATAAATATTTCTATCTAAGCTATTTCCTAAATCCGCATTTATAATTTTTATTTGTCAGGCTATGTTTATATCTTATAATCCATATTATAGATGGCGTGCGTTTGGTATATTGGTATATTAATTAAGTTCACTCCTAAGGAAAGTACATATTGGGTGATAAGTCTATCTAAGCTAGTTGCTCAAGGAGCCTAACGTTGATTAAATTAATGATTTTGATGAATATGAATTAAACTTTGTAGAGTAAATTTTTATGGGAATGCAATGAAGTCTTTGACGATAATCGTAATATGCCGGTACTTTATGAGTGAGATTATTTGAATTTGGGTGATACATAATTTCATTGATCACATGAATATTTGTTTACAGATATTTGACGTCATTATTAAGAATTAAAATTTATGAGTATGATTTGGTTCTTTGATGATAGCATTGTTTCTAATTACCCTTATGAGTGAGATTGCTAATATTTGCATGATGTCATAACCTCCATTAATTGATGTGTGATTCTATAAACACAATGTCATAAGAAAGAATACACAATTTTTTTTTTAATACATAGTACTTTGGATATCCAACTCTGGGTTAGAATCGATGATTTAATTTATAGATTATTAGATTTACTCAATCCCAGAATCGAATGAGAATTTATAATATTAAAAAGGTAACAAGCTTGTTTTTATATGATATACTTTTGATTATAATTCATTTAAAAGTTCATTAGAATATCTATTTGAACAAGCTAGAAATAGTGTCATGAGCTCAAGAAACTAATCATGACATTATGAGTAACTTATTTAAAAATATATATTTATTATGCCCATACTTATAAGAGATCGATTAATATAATTGGGCAAGAGTTACGAGTTTATAAGAATAATTTTATTATGCTTGATACATGCATTGCTAAGAGAATTTATGCCTTAAAAGGTGGAATTGTTGGATTCATTTCATGCCCCATATGCAAGGATTAGGGGGAGATTGTATTTATTCCATTATTTTATGTAATCCTTGCACATAAATAATAAAATATATTGATGGTCAATTTGGTACATACATTAACTTAAATATCAACTATTTATTTAATAAAAGTGGCCACATGTTAATTAAATATTTTGAAACGATACCATCCTGCAGATGGATAAAAATAAATGTCATTGATCATATATACTAGTTGTAAATGCTACAATCAAAATTGATGTCCCAGAAGATGATAAGCCGTGTTATGTGCATAATTGTTAGCTTATTTCTAGTTGTTTTTATTAGTTTAGTATAGTATTTTAGTTCATTTTGGTTTTATTTGATCTAGTTTCGATGATTCGATGCTTTTATGGGTAGTTTCGTTGTTTTTAATGTATTTTAGGATTAACGGAGCTAATTTGGAGATTTTATGAAGTCGTGAGGCTAAACCGAGGCCCACGGACCTTCACGAAGCTCGTTGGTCGAAGAACGAGTCATTTGGGCCCTTTTGGAAAGAGGCACGCCCATGCCCAGCCGAGGCACGTCCGTGCCTGAATCTCAGTAGCTGAAGAATTAACATTCGATATGAGGCACGGTCGTGTCTCATAGAGGCACGTCCGTGCCTGCTGCTACCATCAAATTTCATGTGAGGCACGTCCGTGCCCAATATAGGCACGTTCGTGCCTGGATTCCAGAAGACATGAGGATTTACACTCGATTTGAGGCACGTTCGTGCCTCTTGTAGGCACGTTTGTGCCTCTTAGGAAGATTGCGCGATATATTTTTGTTGCGTTTTCTTATCTTGTTCGGAGTATAAATACTCTAGACTTTGTATTATTTCATTATTGAGTATTTATTAGCATCTAGTTTTTATTATTAGACCTAGTTCTCTCTATTATTTTTACATCGCTTTTGTAATTCAAGATTTGACATTCTCCATTTATTTAAGATTTAGTATTTTCTTTTCATCTTTTGTTTCTTAATTATGTTTTCCTTGATTATTATTGTTATTGTTTCTTTCAATATGCGTGAGTAGTTTTCTTATTCCAAGATCTAGGGTAGCCCAATTATGATTGATGCATGATTTAATTCTTTAAATTCTCTAATAACTATTACAATTGTTTATGCTAAATTAATTGTGATTATGCCAATACTAGATTAGAGATAATTAGTATTGTTATTATTCCATAGTTTCAATCACAACGAGAGGTGGGTTTTAACGGATTTGAGTAAATTGATTTAGGGTTTGAAATTCATCACGAGAGTAGTTGAATTGATAATTGGGAGGTGAAGTAAAGTGTTTAACGTCTCTAATTTGCATGATACCATGAGAATAGGCTTGATTGTGGGTTAGGGAAGCCATTGATACTCGAGAGAGGTCCTTGGTATTGGTTAGGGTTTGCTTTTCCCCGTGTTAATTGGAATTGTATGTTAGGGGTAGATATATAATTGCATCGATCGTAATTGTGGTGATACTTGATCTTGGATGTTTTAGCTTATTGATTCATTATATTCTTTTGATTTATTCTAGTTTTCCATATTTTAGCTCTTAGTTTATTCCATCATTGATTGATTCTTGCTTAGTGATTACTTGAGTCTAGATAATTTAGGTGAACCATAGTCTCTGTGGGATCGACCCTGACTTACCCTACTACATAATTAGGAGGTCTAGTTAGGTATTATTTTTGTTAGGTGTGCGACCGCCTATCAAATTTTTGCGCCGTTGCCGGGGACTAACAGTTTCATTTGATTATTTGTGATTCGTTTTTACTAAGCCTCATTCGTTGCTTCGGCTATTGTTTCTTGTGTTTTTGATACTCTTCTTTTAGATCCTTGTTCCATGCAAACTCGAGGTTCAGGATCAGACGATTTAATTCCTTTTGATTCTAAAATCAAAGCGACCGCAAGAAGACGAGCAGGTAGAAGAAGAAGGAGAAACCAAGCCAACAGAAACATGGAAGATGCCACGAAATCCCTCTTGGAGTACGGTATTCCTGATACAACTACCGGACTCCTTTCTAGCATTGTCAGACTGTGACAGCTCAGCACTTCGAGCTAAAGCCATAGTTCATTCAGTTCATCTCCAATGATTCATTTGCAGGCTCACCGCATGATTGTCCGGTGAGTCATATCGATAGTTTTCTAGAGAAATGTGATACAATGAAAATGAATGGTGTTATAGATGATGTTATTAGACTTCGCCTTTTCCCTTTCTCATTACGGGATAGGGTAAATTAAAGGAGTGGTTGAGAGATGAAGGCACTGGCTCGTTCGACACATGGGACAAGCTAGTGAAAGCCTTCTTAGTAAAGTTTCTAGGACAGGAGAAGACTGCTAGGTTGAGAAACGAATTATCCACCTTCAGGCAGTCAGATGATGAGTCCCTATGCGATGCGTGGAGGAGATTCAAGCGATTGCAGAGGCAATGCCCCCACCATGGTATTCCTGAATGGATGTTAATCCAAACCTTCTACAATGGTCTAACTCACGAGTTCTGTATCTACATTGATGCTGCGTCCGGGGGTTCTTGACAAAGAATCCAACTGATGCAAAGGAGTTAGTTGAGAAAATGGCGGCCAATGATAACTATCATCCAGGTGGCCGAAATAGTGTGAAAAAAGGAGGTAAATTAGATGTTGATGCTTTAACTCTTTTGACTAGTTCTGTGCAGGCATTGACAAGCAAGTTCGATAGGTTCCAAGCTAGAACATCCACTAGCTCACTTGAGATTTGTCAATTGTGTAATGTGGAAGGTCATATTGCACCCAATTACCCATAAAGTTTAAATGAGATGTCGATTGAGGAAGCTAATGCATTCTACACCTCTAACCCCAAAAGGCCATATGACCCCCATTCAAACACATACAATGAAGGTTAGAAGAATCACCCAAATTTTTCCTACAAGAATACCCAGGCTCAACAAAATCCACCTCCACCACCACCTCGAAACAACAACTACAATGCACCACCTGGTTTCCAACCAAGGCCACCTCCAATCCAACAACCTACTCAACCACCTCCTTAAAAGTCCAACCTTGAACTAATGTTGGAAAACTTTATCACCACAACCAACAATTCCATCCAACATCAAAACAGTTCCATACAACAGCTACAAGCCCAGAGTAAGCTCATGGAAAATCAGATAAGCCAACTTGCTCACCAAGTTGGTCAATCCTTAAAGACACCGGGGACCTTTCCGGGTCAGACAGAGCAACCACAGAAATGGCATTTGAATGTTGTTACTTTGAGAAGTGGAAAGCAATTGGAAGATCCTCCTATCAAGGAGCCATCGAAGGAGATCATTGAAGAAGTAGGTGAAAGTGAGAAAGAGATTTATAATGCTAAGGTCGAGGATGAATCAAAGGAAGCAACTCCAAAGCCGCTTGCTCCGTATGTGCTTAAGGTTCCTTTTCCTCAAAGGTTAGCCCAAGCTAAGCTTGAGAAAAAGTACGGTAAATTTCTTGATATCTTAAAAAAAACTTCATATTAATATTCCTTTTTTAGATGCTATATCCGAGAGGCCTTCTTATGCTAAATTTTTAAAGGATATGCTTTCTAATAAGAAAAAGTTAGAAGAGAATGCTACAGTTGCTTTGACTGCAGAGTGTAGTGCTATTTTGCAGAATACTCTCCCTAAGAAATTAGGTGATCCAGGTAGCTATTCAATTCCAGTGAAGCTTGGAGATATTGAAATAAACAGGGCACTATGTGATCTTGGTGCAAGTGTGAGTCTCATGCCACTGTCCATCTGTGAGAAGCTGCAAATGGGTGAACTTAAACCCACGCGCATTTATTTGCAACTTGCAGACAGGTCAGTTAAATTTCCTTTGGGTGTACTTGAGGATGTACCTCTTCGTGTAGGTAAGTTTTTCATTCCCTGTGATTTTGTTGTGATGGAAATGGAGGAAGATGTGAATGTTCCAATTATTCTTGGTAGACCTTTCTTAGCTACTGCAGGCGCAATCATTGACATGAAGAACGGTAAGATTACTTTTGAAGTTGGTGATGAAAAATTAGAATACTCACTTTTAAACGTTATGGGTACTCCCTCTATGGGAGAAACTGTTTGTCAGGTTGATGTGCTTGATGAGTTGCAGAATGAGCAACTACCTCTAAGTCAAATAGATGATGCACTCGAACAAGTGCTAGTAGGAAAGGATGATGGTGATGGAGATTGGGAATCAAGGGAGTATGTCAGGCTACTTGAAGAAGCAAAGGCCAACCCAATCGCTAATCCAATCAGAGAAATACTTAGTGCAGTGAGTATTGGGGAGAGTACTAAGCCTCCCGAGGTAGAGTTGAAACCTCTCCCTTCTAATCTGAAATATGCATATCTTGGTCCCAATAATTTATACCCTGTTATTGTTAATGCTGAACTCAAGGACACAGAATTGGAGCAATTGCTCAATGTTTTAAGAATGTATAAATGTGTAATTGGGTACACCATTGATGATATTAAGGGTATTAATCCTTCTTTCTGTATGCATAAAATTATTCTTAAAAACGATCATGCCTCCTCTGTAGAACCTCAAAGAAGGCTTAATCCAAACATGATGGAAGTAGTGAAAAAAGAGGTTCTAAAATTGCTTGCTGCAGGAATAATCTACCCTATCTCCGATAGTAAGTGGGTTAGCCTTGTACAAGTGGTACCAAAGAAGGGAGGTATGACCGTTGCCAAGAATGACAAGGCTGAGCCAGTCGCCACTAGGACTGTTACAGGGTGGCGAATGTGTATAGATTATAGGAAATTAAATAAGGCCACCCGCAAGGATCATTTTCCCCTACCCTTCATTGATCAGATGCTTGAAAGGTTGGCAAAGCATTCATTTTTCTGTTTTGGATGGATATTCTGGTTTCTTTCAAATTCCTATTCGTCCTTGTGATCAGGAAAAGACTACATTCACATGTCCATATGGCACCTTTGCATATCGTAGGATGCCATTTGGATTATGTAATGCTCCTGCCACTTTTCATCGTTGTATGATGGCTATTTTTTCCGGTCTTATAGAGAACTCTATGGAGGTATTTATGGATGATTTTTCTGTCTACGGAACATCTTTTGATATATGTCTTGGAAATCTCAAAAAGGTGCTCCAAAGATGTAAGGAAGTCAATTTGATTTTGAACTGGGAAAAATGCCATTTTATGGTGCAACAGGGAATTGTCTTAGGTCATGTTGTATCCAATAAGGGTATTGAGGTTGATAAAGCTAAGATAGAGGTTATAGAGCGTTTACCACCCCCGAATTCTGTAAAAGGAGTTCGAAGTTTCCTTGGTCATGCAGGTTTTTACCGTCGTTTTATCAAGGATTTTTTCTAAAATAGCTCGGCCTCTAACTGAGCTTTTAGCTAAAGATGTTCCTTTTGTTTTTACTGATGCTTGTCTTGAAGCTTTTAACAGGTTAAAGGAAGCTTTGATATCTGCTCCTGTCATGCAACCTCCAGATTGGAACCTGCCCTTTGAAATCATGTGTGATGCAAGTGACTATGCGGTAGGAGCCGTTTTGGGGCAAAGAAAGGAGAAAAAGCTTCATGCCATTTACTATGCTAGCAAAACTCTTACTCAAATGAATTATGCCACAACTGAAAAAGAGATGCTAGCTGTAATATATGCAATTGACATGTTTCATTCCTATTTGGTCGGTTCTAAGGTTATCATTCATACAGATCATGCAGCACTAAGATACTTGATGACCAAAACCCATGCAAAGCCTAAGTTGATCCGATGGATTCTTCAACTACAGGATTATGACATAGAGATCAAGGATACAAAAGGGACGGAGAATGTTGTTGCAGATCATCTCTCCGCTCTTCTCCTTGACCCTGAGGATGAGGACGATACTCCTTTTGATGATTCTTTCCCTGCAGAGCATTTATTAGCCTTATTGATTGCAAACTGAATCACCTTGGTATGCTAACTTGGCTAATTTCCTCTTTACAGGTACAAAGCCTCATGGCTACTCCTCTCAACAAAGGAAGAAATTCCTTTTTGAGGCAAGGAGATATTTCTGGGATGATCCGTTCCTATACAAGCAATGCGCGGATACTATGATTCGAAGATGCATTCCAGAAATTGAGGTAAATCACATTATTTCTCATTGCCATGACTTACCTTGTGGTGGACATGCAGGCCCTTCGAAGATAATTGCAAAAATCTTGCAATGTGGATTTTATTGGCCTACAATGTTCAAGGATACATATGCCTATGTCAAGGCTTGTGATAGATGTCAACGAACGGGCACAATATCTAAGAAGAATAAGATGCCACTCAACAACATAATCGAGGTCGAGTTGTTTGATGTGTGGGGGATAGACTTCGTGGGTCCATTTCCTTCTTCCTATGGCAACCGTTACATCTTGCTAGCCGTTGATTACGTGTCAAAGTGGGTGGAAGCCATAGCTACTCCAACCAACTTTGCTCGAGTGGTAAGTAAGTTCTTCAAGAAAATTATTTTTCCACGATTTGGTATCCCACGTGTGTTGATTAGTGACAAGGGCACACATTTCTTGGAGCATCGATTTGAGGCAATGCTAAGGAAGTATGGAGTACAACACCGGCTTGGAATTGGCTATCACCCTCAAACAAGTGGCCAAGTCGAGGTATCCAATCGAGAGATTAAGTCCATCATTGAGAAAAAAGTTGCAAGAACAAGGAAGGATTGGTCCGCGAAGCTAGATGATGCGCTATGGGCGTACCGAACGACCTTCAAAACGCCAATTGGTACAACCCCATATAAACTTGTCTACGAGAAAGCATGCCACCTGCCCGTTGAGCTAGAACATCGAGCATTTTGGGCCATTAAAAGCTTGAATTTCGATGCCAAGGCAGCGGGAGAAAAGAGGTTGTCAACTCAATGAACTAGATGAGCTTCGTCTCGAAGCTTATGAAAGTTCAAAACTATATAAAGTGAAAACAAAAAGGTGGCATGACAAGAACCTTGTGAGGAGAGAGTTCAAAGAAGGAGATCAAGTCCTTCTTTTCAATTCTAGGTTGAGATTGTTCCCAGGTAAGCTTCGGTCTAGATGGTCGGGTCCATTCAAGATCAAGAAGGTGCATCCCTACGGCACTATTGAGTTGGAAAACGCAAGAGGAGAGCCCTTTAAGGTCAATGGGCAAAGAGTAAAGCATTACCGAGTTGGTGACCCCATCGATGAAGGATTGGACATCACACTCTCCACCCCGCCGCAGGAAAATTGAGCATAAAGGAGGTCGAGCTTAAGACCTTATAAATAAGCGCTAGATAGGAGGCAACCCATTCTCGATCTCTTATTTAACCATTTTTGTTTTTATTTGTTTATTTATTTATTTATTTATTTATGTATTCACCTCGTTATCTCTCTTATGCAGGTATCAAAAAAAAAAAAAAATTGTGTTCTGCCAAAGAGACACGTTCGTGTCTCTTAGAGGCACGTCCGTGCCTCAAACCCAGAACCCCAGCTGCAGACTCTGCCTAAGAGGCACGTCCGTGCCTCAGGCCCGGCTGCAATTCTGCTACAGAGGCACGTCCTTGCCCCCCCTTTTTATACCAGGCACGCTCGTGCCCCCTCACTCCACAACTTCAATCTCTCATCTCCCTCCCCACGCACACCTTCTTCTCTAAACTTCAAATCCTTCAATTTCCCCCATTACCCATTCTCAATTTCATCAAGATCCCAATCCTCTCATCCTTTCTACTCCACCTACACACACCATTGTCATCAAAAGCACAGTTTAACCCCATTCTTGCCAAAAATTCTTCAAACCCTATGTTTTGAAATCAAATTGGGGGTTTTCATTTGTGGTGATTTTGAAGTAATTGGGTGACCAAGATAACTTCCTACGGTGTTTCAAGTTGCAATAGTGGATCATTTGCGGGTATTTGACACCCACCACACCTTGGGTATACTCTCTTCATACACTTTCTCTCTCTAAGTTTTCCATGCTTAATTTGTAAAAAAAAAAAATTCTTCATAAAATTGCTGGAGTAAGTTGTTTGTGATTGAGCTTTGCCTATTTTGCTATAGGATGATTGTGCTTGAACATTGGTGATAGTATAGTTGTGGATTCATTATTGAATCTTGTTGAATATTGTGGAAAATTGTGAAGTCCCTACTTTTGTAGTAGTATAGTTGGTTGATTCTTGTGCTTGAATTACAAATTTTGTTTTGGTGTTGTGAATCATGGCTTATTCTTCTAACCCTAAACGAAATCGCCCAAGGAACACATCCACATCGGGTCTAAGAAACCAACCCCCACCACAACCAACCGCCCAACTCCCTCCCATAGAAACCTACGGAATAAACTTCGGAAACAATGAAGAACACATGAAAAACTTTCTAAGAATCCGAACACGATCCATTGTCCCCACTAGGTTTTGCGACCAAGAAGCTATTGCAACTTTGGGGATGGGTGATGAAGTCCCTAGGATTTTTAGGCGTTTGGGGTGGAGTGGATTCCTAACGAAACATGCCCTCACATACTCCAACATCACTTACGAGTTCCTGTCGATCTTAGTTGTCCGACGTAGATCAGATGGAAACACACCTAGGGATATCTCATTTAATTGTTTTGGAGAGCGCCACACCCTTACGGTGAGGGAAGTCAATGTATTGCTAGGTTTCCCCACATACGGACAGTTAGGCAGACCCAACTACGATAGGTTAGATGGATATAGTGATCTCAATACGTGGCGGAACCTAACCGGGCTAGATAACTATGATCCTAGTCACTCGAAATCCACCTGTATCATTCACCCAGCCATACGTCTAATCTGCAGACTCTTCTCATGGACCCTATTTGCTAGATCGAACACAGGGGGAGTTTGTTCGACTAAGGAACTCTATTTTTTGTGGCATTTGCTAGACCACCCCGACCCTTCTGAACATGAGGAGTCAATTAACCCTGGGGCATGGTTTATTGACCATCTATATCATGTAGCTCTAGGGAGTAGGGATATTGCTATTGGAGGTATGATTACTTTGCTTGTTAGTGGTTATATTACTGACTTTGCAGATTTGGAAAAGTACAAGGTAGCCGGCCCCACCCTGCTGAACTTTCAGGGGCTGCAGCAAATGAATTGGGTGAGGAGACGACGTCGTGGTCAAGGCTACGAATGGCTTGTAGGTCGACCCACATTACCCCGGCCCGTACCTTATGCATTTCTCCCACGGGAAGGGATTCCACCGGTCGCTGGAAAGGATACCTGGATCATCCCCCCGATTTCATGTGGCCCCCTCAACATCTAGAGGCTGTCCCATTACACGTGGGGGAGGGCCAGGGACACATGGACGAGGATATCCCGGGCCAGGGCCGCAAGCACCACCTACCTTGGAGGAGAAGGTTGCCTCCATGAGGACTGATTTGGGCCACGTTATGCATGACATGGGTGAGCTGAGGAGAGATGTCAGTGACACTCAAAGGGCGGTCACAAACTTATCGATGTCCCATGACAGCATGGCGACAACCTTTGGTGATTTGAGAGACCAGATCACCGCCTTTCAGTCTGAGTTCTATGATATTGGGGGCATGATGCGTCAACATTTTCAGGGCGGTCCTAGCTCCGGCCCGAGGTATGATTCTCCCCCTCCCGCTCGGTAGACCTGTTTCCCTCTCCCCTTGTCCACTTTCCACTGATTCATGCATACATTGAGGACAATGATATTGAGTATATATTAGTTTTTTTATAATGTTTGGTCAGTTTTTCTTTCTTATTAGTGTCTTTGATATGCCATTCCACGCTTATGCTTCTATGATAATGATCATACATGTGTGCTTTGTGAAAAGCTTTTCGAAAACCCATTTACCAATTTGCTTGGAATTGAGTAGGTTTGTGGCTAGGATGGTCTCCCCGCTCTACTTATGTGAATAGTTTGTGTACCCGGTGAGATTTTTGAGCCATCTTTGACTGATTTCACTCTAACTCGGTCTTATTCTTTCATGTGTGATTAGTTGTCCTTCATATAATTGAATTCTTGGTTTTGCTCTTTGACTATTTGAGAGTTGAATGATGCATGTTGCAGAAAAGTGATTGAAATTTCCTTTGTAGAAAATAGAGCCTTAACATTATAGGCCTACATAAATTTTATTTTTTTTATTTTTATATTCACCCGTAGGTTGAGCCATTTTGAGCCGTGTTTTCCCTTTTCTTGATACCCTACATTTAAAGCCATAGAGCCATTTTCCTAGGTTCTTTTGAAGGAGCATTACACTTGTTTAAGCCCTATGAGTGATCAAAAAAAAAAAAAAAAGAAAAAAAAAGGAATTTAATGTTATTGGAAAGAAGGAAGGAAAAAGAAAAAAAAAAGGGGGTTTTGAAATTTCATATATCCGTACCTCAAAGCAAGGAGGAGTTCTAAAAGTCTTCCTAAATCGTAAAATACTATAATTCCCTTCTTTTTGCAAGTTATAGAAGAAAAAAAGTGTGATTGAAAAGAAAATAAAAAGGGCTTATGCTTATATTGTATGAAGATTGGAGGAAATAAGGTTGGTTTGAACCCAATATTTGTATGTGTAGTAGGATTAGGATTTGTTATATTTTGAGTACCACATTCCCAAATAACGTCGTCCAACCCTTCATTTTCCAAGCCTACCCTTTTTGGATTTCATGATTTTCATAATTGCATCAATCTTTAAGAGTGGAGAAAGTCACATTGCAAGTTTAAAGAGGACAATTCATGTGAAGTTGACATGCATTCTATGCTTAGGTTGAGTGATATCATATTTCACCCGTAAACACATGAGCGTTTATTGTTTTTATTTTTCACAACTAAAGTGAGAGCTATTCATGTTTGTGTGAGTTGGTATGGGGAGATGTGTGGTAAGATGTTTGTCGATTCCAAGTGTGAGAGGTTTATGGTGGTTTTATACACATTAACTCTAATTTTTGCTTTCCTCTTGATTTCAAATGATGACACATTATGA